AAAAAAAAAAAAAAAAGGAAATTTTTTCCTTAACCAAATCTTTTCATTGCTTTATTATCATCGAGCTAGTCCACATATTTACTTCTATATTACTGACTTTAATCGTTTCAACATTCCTTAAAGTCTTCTGAGCTACAGCCGACGAATGACGCAAATTTTTTACAATTGAAATTTCCTACCTAATCTTGCTTGGTTGCTAACTACGGTTTACCGCATCAAATTCATCCGATTGCAAAAGTTCATCTTTGATCTAGGATAAAAACCTCTCTCGTTTTTGAAGCCTCGTTTCAACAGTTATTGCTTTTTTATCTCTGCTTTTTCCGAACAAAAATTTTTATAAATCATTTATTTTTTGCACTTTTAAATTTAGAATTATAGCAGTAAAGAACCACCAAAAGGTATTAGTAATTTAGATTTTAAAAGTATGCAATTGAAATATCTATAATTCGAAAATCGCTATTGTTCTTCCTTCTTTTCTTTTTTTTTTCTTAAACAGTGAATTCGTCAAAACATTACTGCATTGCTCAAATTGCTCATTGACAATTACTTTTTAGATCCAAATTTTTTTGACAGAAAAACTATACAGATTCCGATAAAATAATCTCTTCCTGAAGCGACTACGTTTTGGCAGATGCTTGCAGAATGGTATGATGTACTCAAAGCCGCTCGCTCTGTTCCATTTCCCCGAGCTTCTCAAGCTCATTCGCAGCCTGTTTCAGGCTTTGTTGTCACCTTCAGAAATATTGAATTCTCAAATGTATATTTTTAAGACTATTTTTGATGAAACAGTAGAGAGAACAAATTTTTTTCGTACATAATAATTTTTATGTCACTTGCAAAACTAAAATGTATATTTGCATTTATTTTCCAGCTAAAAATTGGTGTTTATTATCGCATTCACACTTATTTCTACGACAAGCATTCCAAAGTGTTTTTTGGAAGACCGTATTATGGAGAATGGCATCGATGTGAACAGAATATTGTCGACGTGTCTGATGTATAAATGATATTTCAATTATTTCTTCCAAAAATTTCAGTTTCTTAATTAAATTGAAGAAGTCGTCATGAAACCTTCTCTTTGTGCACGAAATCATTATTCCAGAAAGAAAGATCAAGTTTATCAAATATTATCTTAACTTCTAATTCTTTACCTTATCTTTGGCAACCAAAAGAGAAATTAATTTACAGGTTATATTTTTCTATGCTTCAATAACCGATGAGACAGTAGCTCTGGTTATTGAGCTTGTTGAATGTGAAAACCTATGTGTTGATGAACCAAACATCAATACAACTGCATGGACGGTAACACCGCTCTATTCCCTAAGCAGACAAAAAACTGATATTGATTCTACTGATACTCCAGCCAAAATGACCAGGCATACATTTATGGCTGTTTCAGATTCAAAAACGATTTGACGTTCAAGTAATCAAGCTTCTTAGCACTTTTAGGTTTCAATTCTATTATGGAACACCAAAACAACTAATTTTCTGCGATACCATCTTGGATCTCAAAGAAAATCTGCGTAAAACGACGGGAATAATTGAGCTTTCTCTACGAGCCGACAAGAAAATGTTGGATGTTGCAAACTTTCTGCCAGAGTTCTGCATTGTTTCAGTTAGTGAGGCTATTCCGGGTATAAAAGTTACCTCAATAGGTTTGTTCTTTTGTGCCAGTTACTTTTGAAGAATAACGTGAGACAGAAACAAGCTTTATTCAGTAACGACTTTTTTCCTTCAGCAAATGCTTCACTGTTTTAAACTACAAAAAGATGATCTTTTAACCTGTGATGCAAGCTTTATGTTTCTAGCTCTTCAATGCCGCGTCTTCACGTTTTTAGGGGTTTTTGACTTTTCCTGTACCAGCTTTTCGCTTTTTCGGACATCAAAAATTTGATTTTTCAGATTCTTCAAGTACATTTACGTTTAAAGAAGTCGATGCTTTTGTTGGTACTCTTACAAATATTTCTTTAACCTTTGCTATGAATGCAGAACGATTTGAAGAAGCTTTTATACAGTTAACTAATAATGATCGGCTTTATCGCTTGAATCAGTCTCCGAACAACCAAACTATCAAATCTTTACAAATCCTCGAACGGAGGTTAAAGGTGCTTATCATAGGAAATATTACTTTTTGCATTTTTTACTTGAACAATACAGTCTGCAGGGCTGTGTAGCTAATACGTTGATAAGACAAAAGGTTAAGTAAGTAAATGAAAAGCATCAAATGTTTGGGTATATACGCCAGATAAAAGATGATAAATTTGAGTGGATTTGTTCAGATTGGTCTACATAATGGGTATACCTATTTGGAGGAACCAGAATATATGCATCTGACATACGCCGATGAAGTTGGCCACAGGACACAAGTACTAAAGCGAAAAACTAGATCAAGCTCTAATTACAGTTTAGATTCCAGGTCTTGCATTCAACCTTGCTCAATGAAAAAAATTTCAAAGTTTCAAAAAGAATTAATTTTTTTGGAGAAGAAAGATTTATAACCGTAACTAATTTTTTGAAACTTTTGGAACATTTGTGTTACATTTGTTTATCCAGCTTTTCGACTGTTTCAGTTTCTTTTCTGATTGCGTTTTTAGGTTAGAAAAAGCGCGATTTGTTATACGAAATGATGTTACATTGAAGCGTCTGTTTCGAGATTCTCGACTTGCTATTGTATTTACGCTCGAGTATCTAATTGGAGTTCCTGAAGATGATGTAAGCTCTAAAATGATGAAATAAATAGTTTTTTATGAACTTCAATTCTGTTAAAAGGTTTTTATAACGTTTATTTTAGATGACCTGGAAATCTATTTGACTGTCTTTTTCTTAGAGGCTGTAGGTTATGATTATTGTCTTAAGACAGATTTAACGTATTTTTGGCTATATTTTTAAAACTTTAGTTTTTACTGGAAAAAAAGCACTTTCTCAAGAAATCGAGAGAAAA